TATAAAGCATGATGATTGAAATGTATAGTAGATGGCTCAGTGTGCCAAGGAAACCAGTAGATGGATTAGAGAAGTTTTTACCGTGTCCCTGGGAAGTTCGGTTTACATTTGTGGACATTCAGTATTTCCTCTCGTGGCCAGAAAAATACAGAGTTTCATCAAAACATTTAAATGAGACCTCAAAATGTGAATTTATGCCAAACTCTGACCCCTTTCCTTTGGTTGGTTTTGGTACTTAACATTGAACATTTGATCTTACCATGTTTAGTTAATGTTTCTCAAGTGTTTACTGTAAATTTTGTCTGCCGTGACTTTGGTTTTATACCCTGCTTCACGTTCCCCTTCTGTCTGTCAAATAGGTTCTCAAGCTTCAAAGTTTGAGTTTTTACATTATACACTGCTTACATAGTAAAGGAGATGGACATAATAATAAGACATAGCTGTAGCACATTATGAAATCCAGTACAATACAATACAATAATTCTGTAAATGCCACCTTTTGTAAAGCTTTAAAGGAAGAGTTGAAATTATGGGAAAAATGTCTATTCGCTTCCTTGAAGAGAGTTAGATAGTAAGATTGAACACTCTCGTCTCTGTCTGCTTGGCAAAACAAATCGACCGGGTCTTCTAAAGCTCATTAATTAACACGTTATGCATTTGTTCAATTTAACCAATTTAATTTTAAAATTTCTCAGTTTTACAGTTGGTTGTGTATGGAACAGAGGCTGGCTAGCTGTTTCCATGTTTCCTCTTAATGCTAAGTTAAGCTAACTACCTGCTCACCGTAGCTTCAGACAACAATCCCAGCTACATCAGGTGATTGTAAACAACCCACATCAACTGATAGCTCAGCTGATTCCCTTCAAGCATCCAATGTTACAACACAGCTCCACACCAGCTCCTCCTTTTACACCCTGTCTGATTTAATCAATGTCCTTTCTGTTGTCATTGATGCATGCTCTGCTCTGTACCCCATGTACATGGAAGGGCAGGGAGGTCCCAAAAAAGAGCTATACCACCAAACATAAAAGTCCTGACTGAACTACATTATTCTAGACTATACATTATCACATAATATATGTTTAATTATGTTAGATTTGCTGTCATTTAGGATGAGATAATGTTAACAGAGAATAACGATACACTTACCTCACAATTCAATGCGATTCACAATACTGAGTTCCTAATATGATCTTCTTACTAAATGAGATTGAAGACAAATTATGACTGAAAAAAGATTCCTTTATTTCTCAGACAAAAAAAACCTACAAAATATATTTTCTCTTACATTTTCTTTATCAAATCATAGAATCCTTTTTTATTTCTGAGGTAGGCAATAAACAATACAAAACAATGCATATTCCCTTTCTTTGTAAAAGTGAAACTGTAGTTTTTGTGCTTTGATGCCACGATTGATATAAACAATTACTTTCTCAGCTCACCAATTTGAATCTTCACATGTTTCAAACTGTTGAAAAAGTCTGAGGCACTCAAGCGGGTAGTGATTAAAAAGCCTTTAATATCTCGTGGCTATTTACTCATAGAAACAGTAAAAAAACATGCCTGCGCGTTCATTCAGGCTTTCATCAGGGCAAATACAAAATGGTTGCCTTTGGGCTGAAAGTAGGCATGTTTTTTTAATTGTTACTGTGAGGCTTTTTAATCACATTCATTTCTTGAGTGCCTCAGACATATTTGTATCGCAATTCAACTGTCTCACATTATATCCTTACATTCCTACATGTTAACATTGAGAAAAGATGATGGTGACTGAGGAAATTCAGGGAAACATTTACAGCAGGATGCGAGTTGAGAGTTATGGTACAGGACTCCAAACTACCTTTTTCACCTGCTTCCCAAAACTCACAGGGGGTATTGCTAAAAGCGTTACAGCAGCCCCACTGATAAGGCTGCCTGCAGATGTGTCTGCAGACATTTTTTGTTTATCGGCCTTGTGAGTGCAGGCCTCAGCCCATGCCAATTATCTCAAAGTGCCAGATAACAAAGTCTATCAGTAAAGCATTCCCCAAAATGTCAAACTATTCCTTTAAGTTCCTTTTTTTTATTTCAACAATTCAGGTAGTTATTTGACACGCCTTCTCTGTAACAGTAGCATGTGCATTCTCAACTGTATTTGAGCATGTAAAGTGTGGACCTGAACAATGAGCTAATTATCTCATAATAAGCGTGGGCAATTTATTTTTTTGTCGTTGTGCAGATCCTATAGCCTCAAGAAACAAATATCTACCACACACACTTGACTTCCATCACAAGTCCCCAAGTAAACATCAAAAGAGTGATATGTGACCGCACATTTCAACAAGCTTAGATGACTAACGATCGGGTTTATCAAGTCTTTTGTCTAGCTCTGACTGCCTGCTGATCACAGCGCAATCCAGGGAATATTTTGTACTCCTCACAGTGTTGCACACTCACACACATATCAGTACACACACACCCACACACAACATGCATACAAGAGATATACCAGATCTGCCACTCCTTGCTCCTAGAGTTACCTCCTGGACATTTTGTGACGACAATACAGCTGGAGGAAGTGAAGCAATCGGTAATTAGTCTTTGTCACAGTATCAGTTACGTCACTGTAGGCCCCACCCTTGCATTTACGCAGGTTGCAGATAGTTAGCTGTGTTTTTATATGTTTTTTTTTTTTATATGAATGATTAGTCAAAATTGAATCAGCTACTAAGATTTCCAGTACTTTAGAATTTGCATAGTCTTTTAGTAGTTTGCAAGTTGCGTAACCTTTTATGACACATCCTACTCAGATACTGTATAAAAGAGTAATTTATTTGTAGAAGGTTGTGCTGTGCAAAAAATAAAAGGCTAGGTACAACTATAAAGCCTTATTTTAGTTATAACTTCTATGTAGCTACAGCCTGACCTTGTTTCTCACGTCTTGCAGCCTGATGAGGAAGTCAGTTTATGGTTGTTGAATATCAGGTAATTTACCACCTGCAAAGGGGTTATGAAATCAACAACTGGACAGGGGAGAATGTTTACAGTGGCTATACTGCTGCTTGCTTGAGCAATCAGGTTTTTTTCTTCCTTGTGCGCCATACAAGCGTGAGCCTCTGGTGCAGGAAGTTTGTTGAACCTTTAGTCACCTGCCTCACTCAGCCTTTACTGCTCATCATAAATATTAACTGAACAAAACATTCAGACAGGAAGCAGGCTATATGCTTGCAGCTGGGTGGTATACAGTACATCTATGTACTGTATATGCTAAAAAAAACAAAACAAATTAACTGTAATCAGCATCCATATTAGCAAACTGTCATCCAGGATGTCCAAATCAGGTTGATTATTATTCACAGCTGCACAGTCATGACAACCTTTTTGTTTATTACGGTTTGGTTTCTCAGTCTGAGTAATAATTAGGAGGCTAATTACATCTCACATGGCTCCTCTAATTAAAACGGTCAGTTTGCCTTTAGTCTGCCTCTGTTGCCTGGGCGTAAGGCTGCTGGACTGCAGGGTTCATGTCAGGGAGATCCCTCAGGGACAAAGTAATGAGGAGGAAGAAGAGGGAGGGCGGGAGACAGCTGTTTGTGGCTAATTCTCACTGATTGTGTGCCCAATCGCCGTTGGTTTGTGTGAATTCAAAACAACAACAACATGTGTAAAATACACAGTGGACAAGGAAAAATACAAAACATTGGCTTCAGATACTAGCTTGACGTAGCTGAAAGACGTTATCGTGTCCTTTTTTTTTTTTTTTCAATTTGGCCAATCAGAAAGGGTTCCGAGCAATTAAATTAACTGTTATGTACAGTGTAGTGAGGTGTGTCTCAGAATTTGGAGCACATGTTTTGGCTTTCTTTGCAGTCAAGAGCAGACACGTTGTGGAATGTGACCCAAGAGACATTACACCAGCACCCTAATGTCTGATAAACAAGAGGAAAAATCCTTTGTGTTTCTGAACCTATTGCTCAATTTAACCCTACTTAAAAGAGAAAAATCAATTATATGCTTATTGTGTGTGAGTGTGTGAGGGTTTGTGTGAATGTATAGCTGTGTGTGTGTTTGTTGGAGGGGTGTCAAGGTGTTGAACACAGCTGACTCTCTTCAGTGCCAGTCAGAACCTGTCTGACCAGCTCAGGGGATGACTGAATAGAGGAAGACCTGTTTTCTTAACACGCACATTCTTCCTTTTAAAAACTACATTCATTAAGAAAAGCCCTTTGTGTCTTCTGCACTTATCAGTAATACAGCTCTCCTTATCCAAACGCTTTATTGCTTAACGCCAGATAGGCTACATTATAAACCCGCAATTGTAGTCCTGTGAATCTCTCTATCAATGACTTTGTTGTTATTGCAGCTTAAAACTCAGGAAACTGCATGGATCAGCATTTTATTTAAGCCCTTAGTTGTTATTTAATCATGTCAAGAACTTGCCCTAAAATCAGATATGCTTAGACTAGACTGAAGTTATTGAGACTGTTATTAATTATGAGATTTAGAGAGTTAAAGTTCCCCCAAGTAACGCTCTCACACACAAATCTCATGGAATCTGTGACACACCAGATCTTTTCTCTGAAATGACACAACGGGCCTGGAGATGCTGGTTTCAGTGGTTGTTGTAACTAGCCTGCATAGCAGTGGAAAGATTCAGGCCGTTGCCAGTGTAAATACAGCCATCTCCCTTTGACTTCTGAGCCAGACTTCGCTTCGTTGCTGAGATTTGATTCCTATTGTAGATGCAACCCAGATCGTGTATTTTCACATGAAAACTGGCCAAGTTATGACTGCACAGATCAAGTTCACAAACAGAGACATACACAGAAAGGCATAAATTGAGCCAGTGTGTTACATAAGCGGGGAATGTTTCTGACTGATAGCACTGTGGACCTTGGATAAATGCTTTGGTGACATTGCAGATGATTTACAACCAGTTTGCATCTTGTGTTTCAAGTAACATCCAAATAAATCCTGCAAATTCTGTAATTGTTTTTTTGTTTTTTTGTCCTTCCCTGCAGTATGCCAAGGCATCACCAACCGTTTGAACCTCCTGGGTTCCAAAGAGGACCACTACCTGAACATGGTGAAGACCTACAGCAACTGTACTGTGGTCCTTGAGAACCTGGAGATCACCTACATGGAGGAGGACCGTGACCTATCCTTCCTCAGGGTAAAGACTACGCTGTTAGCAGTGGAGGATAAACAAGCACATAACAGATGTGTAGAAGGTTTCTTTTACACATTTTTTTCTCTTTGTCACTTTGGTGGTCTAAAGCTAGTTTGCCAGACAATCTATCCTGCATCTTTGCAGGCGCTGCACTGCCCTTAGCGCTTCAGTACAGATAATTAAAATGAGTGGGGAATATTTAGTGACGGATGATTCAGTGTGTTTATGACGCTCCGGTTGGAGCTTTGCTTGAACCCCAACTGTAACGAGAAGGTTGTGAACACTGGGCAGATGTCACAAGGGACCACCCACTCACATGCATACACAGAATAACATACAGTCAGCAGATATCATGCAGTAGTTCCATCAGTGAGGAGGGGGGCATGGCTCCCTTCATTTTCAGGATCCTAATTTTGTCCCCATTGCTTTTACATAAAATCGCTTTAATTAGAGTCTGCTTACGGTCCAGCTGGGATAATCCACATGAAAGAAACTGAGTTGATAAAAATGTTGATATGCACATCAAGGTCCTCTGCAATTGTTCCTGTATGCTCTTTGCAATAAGTGATAGCAAGAACATTTTGTACTTTTTTTTTTTTGTATTGTCCTGAGCTTTGCCTCTCAGGTAAGATACTGGTAGGGACTGTATGCAGCCCGAGAGAAAGACCTGTAGGGACTAGTCAAGATGTTAAAGCTAACCACCTCCTGTACATATATTTGCATTTGACTCACAGCTGTGTACAGTGAAGGAAAATGCTCTATTTAGTAAAGATGTAAAAAGAACATCACCTTTCATTATGTATCAGCAGCCTTTTGCACTATTCTCTATTTTTTTCTTCCACAGTCTATTGAAGAAGTGGGTGGCTATGTGCTGATTGCACTCAACATGGTGCCCAGGATTCCTCTGGAGAACCTGCGCATCATTCGTGGTCATTCGCTCTATGAAGGAAAGTTTGCTCTTGCTGTGATTGCCAATTTTAACAAAACTTCAGGTCAGGCCTCCAGAGAGCTTCTTCTGACTAGGCTCACAGGTCAGTCCATCTTTCCCATTTTTTCTATTTTCTGTGACAGAATTTCTCCAAAAATTTTTATGAGGCATAAAAATATTGATGTGTTGTGAAAATCAATTGGTGTACTTCTATAGGATTAACGTATTAGTTTTCTTTTGCAGAAATTCTTAAAGGAGGTGTTAAGTTTTGGAACAACCGGCTGTGCAATGTGGAAACCATACAGTGGTATGATATTGTCAATGCTGAAAACAATCCCAGCATGGAGCTCCCAGTGGCCGGCAAAAAAAGGAATCCATTTTGTAAGTAATACATTCCACAGCAGAAGGCCTCAATTGCAAAGTACTTCAGTTTATTTGTGCAGTTTTAAGGAATTTCAAGCGTGTGAACTAAACATTTTACCCTGTTAATTTCTTGTGTTCTGCTTTTCCAGGTAAGCAATGCGACTCAAGCTGCTTCAATGGTTCATGCTGGGCATCTGGTGCTCAAAACTGTCAGACCTGTGAGTTGTGATTGAATTGAACACACTGAATTCAGTCAGATCTGTTTAATAAAACTATGCTGTAAAGCTGAAATCTGTAATGCCTAATTCATATTTTATTTTTAGTACTGTTTATCTTTATGGTGTGGTGAAACACAAAAAACTGTTTGCCATATTTCTCTACTGTAACAATGGATGTCTCTTTCCCCTCATATTGGGATATATAAGATAAGATAAGACCTCTGTTGTTTCCCAGAGGGAAATTCAGGTGTTGCATCAGAAGTACAGAAATAAGTACAGATAAACAGAGGGGCAAAGCTGGATTGTTAAAGTGATTGGCATAGTTAATGTTTTGCATTACTTTGTTGGTTATTAACATTTTCACTGCATTTTCACTACATAGTTTCAACAGCAAGTTGTGCAAACAAGCTCAGTATTTGAACATGCAGAATGTTATGATTTGCATTTAATATGACAAAAATAAATGTTAAATAGTTGCTACAGGTCATTCCACTGACTCTGTCCCATTCTTTTTTTCCAGTAACAAAGCTGAACTGTGCAGAGCAGTGCTCTAAGAGATGCAATGGAATATCACCCAGCGACTGCTGTAATGAGCACTGTGCTGCGGGCTGCACAGGACCGCGGGCCACCGACTGTCTGGTGAGAGAAAGACACCTCGGTATGGGGGCGAAGAGTAATGATATGATTAAGGAGCTGGGGAGGAGTCGAGCTTAAACAACAAAACGCATACTTCTGCATCAAATTTGGATGAGAAGCCTCCAACAAAACAAAGCCCTCACTCAGCAGCATCTGTTTTTATGATCAGAAGTCTTGTTATTAGTTTCAGTACCAATGAGACATGCAAGTCCTGATTAAATCTTTCATTTGGCAGTGCCTTGAGTATTAGCGTCTACTCTCCCTCTCTGTGCAGCTCTAAAGATTAAGCCTAGGCTGTGATAGAGGAATGCAGTGTTATCATTAGTGTGGGGCTCTGTTATGGTCCCAGTGTACTGGATGACTGTTGTTTGTGCTGCAGGTCTGTCGGGACTTCCAGGACGAAGGGGTGTGTAAGGACTCCTGCCCGGGCCTTATGCGCTACGACCCCAACCTGCACCAGCTGGTACCCAACCCACATGGAAAGTACAACTTCGGGGCCACCTGTGTCAAGACCTGCCCACGTAAGAACGACTATAAACAGAGAAACTTATTCTCAATTTTTTTGATTGTTAATAAACGTTTCATCCTCTCAGACACTGATATATTTATTGCTTTATATAAAAGCATGCACTGTTGTAGCTGTTGTCTTGACAGTCAATATAAATAAAATAAAACTAGAAGGCTTCACTGGCCACTATGAAACACATCATGCATGATTATGAGCTTTTTCACATTGTGGTATGCTGAACAAGTGCCCAGGTTGTCCTTCAGGGTTGTTAGACATTCAATAGTTACAGTTAGTCTCAGTTTAATTATAAACTGTATAAACACAGAAAGAAAATGATTGAGTTTCAGGGCCTGTTAATGCAACACTGTTCTTTCTCAGTTTAACTTCCACAGGTCTGTCCTAGTATTACTGGCCTGCAGCATTATTATGTACCTATAGTAATACTGTTGGTATAACCCACACAAGTTATTACTGCTTAAAAATACATTGGTTTTAATCTTTGTTTGCGTTTCTTTTTCGGCTCAGATACTTTAATATTCAATCTGTAAATGTTGAATATTTTATGATTATGAAGTAAACAGCTTGTATTTTGCAATCATTCCAGATAACTACATTGTGACTGATCAAGGAGCGTGTGTGCGGACATGCAGTGGTAACACATATGAGGTGGACGAGGGAGGAATCAGGAAGTGTGCCAAGTGTGAAGGACTATGTCCAAAAGGTAGGGGGTTAAGCTATCACTGGGCAACATTTTTGACTCATGTACACAATATAGTTTGTAGTGGTGGAACACAAATAAGTACATTGACTCAAGTACTGTACTTAATTACAATTCAAAGGTACTTGAGCTTGAGCTACGACATATATATAGTATAGTAAAGCTATATTTAGAGTGCCGGTAGATGGATTTTGTTATCTTTAGACAGAGGCAGACTAGCTGGTTTCCAGTCTTCACGCTAAACTAAAACACTGTTGCTACTTTTATTTTCACTGCATCAAGTAATAATCCAATTTTATTCTTATATAATAATACACCACTTTAAGGGAATATACTGCTGGCTTTATGATTATTTTGATACTTTCAAAGTTTGGTTTAGCCTAATACCAAAACTAGAGTGAGGTGAAGGGTTTTAAAATAGTATCTGTGGTGATATTTGTTTTCTTCATTGTTTACAGTGTGTGACGGACTTGGGACAGGACACCTGGCTAACACCCTGGCTGTCAATGCCACCAATATTGACTCCTTTAAAAACTGCACAAACATCCATGGTAACATTGCTATCCTCCACCCAACAGTTCATGGGTAAGTCAAGGACATTAACAGTGTTAGAGCATTTATGCTTATCTATATCACCTGTATCAACTGCAGTAGATTATCGGGCACCTTTCACCCGTGGCAGATAAAATGTACATTCTTGTTATTTGCAGAGATCCATTCACCAAAACACCAAAGATGCATCATTCCCAGCTTGATGTGTTTAAGACAGTTAAAGAAATTACTGGTAAGACTGCATAATACCTGAGTAATGCATGACACACTAAATGCATACTAAAAAAATTTATTATTAACAATCCGTTTGTTGTTTTAGGACACTTGTTGATTCAAATATGGCCAGAGAACATGAGCTCACTCAGTCCTTTTGAGAATCTGGAGATCATTCGAGGACGAACTAAGCGGTATGTTCCTTATAAAGACCCCCTGTAGATTCACAACCACTGAACCACAAGAAATTAATGTCTTTTTCAAGAACTGAGTATTATTCAAGGCTATCATAAAAAGTTTTCTTCTTCTCTTCCTGTTCCATCTTTTTCTTTTTTGTAGTGGTAGCCGCAGTCTGATTATAAATCAACTCAGTATCGATCACCTGGGCCTTCGGTCACTCAAAGAAATCAGTGATGGAGACGTGTTCATCATGAAGAACAAGAACCTATGCTACACCAGCAAAAGCCACTGGACGAAGCTCTTTAAATCAGAAAGCCAAAGTGCTACCATAGAGGAAAATGCTGATGCTGACACATGTGGTGAATTGAATTTAGTTTTTTCCCACACCGATTTAGTCAGATCCTTTTGTTGTTTTGTTTTGTAGCTTCTGATTACGTAGTGCACAGGCCAGATTTAATTAATGGAATCTAATTTCAAAATTGGATAATTATGCGGGAAAGATATCTTTTTGAGATTGTATGTTTGTTTTCAGCTCTGAGGAACAACACATGCGACAGGAAGTGTACCACGGACGGCTGCTGGGGCCCCGGCCCGGACATGTGTTTTGCCTGCCGTGACTACAGCCGTGATGGGAGCTGTGTTGACTCCTGCAACATCCTGGAGGGGTAAGGGAGGAATCTTTGGGTTTTAATGCCTTTTAAGCTCTGAAATGCAGTGTTTCTTATTTTAGACAAACAAACAGCCTTAACATCCGATCTGTTTGCTGTACAGTTAACTCCTTTTCATACCACAAGCATTTCCAGACTATGACATTAGATGAGTTGGGGATTTGTTATTGAAGCAAATGTAAAAACTAATATGATCCAAGGTATTTTGAAGGTAAACCTCCAGTATACATAAGAATAACATTTCAGCTGAAATGGCACATTCACTCATATCTGTTTACCTTTGCAGATCTCTGTCAAACATTGAATTTCAACATGCTTACAATTTAACTTATGCCCTCAACAAGGGGATCAAGAATTTCACTTCACATGTAACTGTTTGAAATGTGGTGCACCAGCAGTGAGAGTCTGTCAGCTTTGCTGTTGTTTTTGCAGAGAGCCGAGGGAGGCCATCGTCAATAAAACCTGCATGGAGTGTCACCCCGAGTGTCAACGCGTGAATGGGACTGCAACCTGCAGTGGGCCTGTATGTGTGTCACAACAACTAAACTATTATTACAAACATCCATAAAAAACAAAACCTCCCACCCAACACTTGAACTACCGTAGAACATTATTTATGAATCTAAAATGTTTCTGTATCAGTCACTCAGAATCAGAGAGCACCACAAATGAACAATTACACAGCCTGAAATCCATTGCAGCCACAGGGCATGTCCTGTTTCGGATGAGGGGTGTTGCTGTGTGATCTATTCTACTTTTATACACTCATAATCCAATCTTTGACTGAAAACAATACATTCAATCCCCATTGTTAGAAGTAACTCTTGGAAATGTGGGGTATCATTATTGAAAATAGACCATATTAAATTGCAGCACTTGATTATGATAAGTGTCTCAGAGAACAGAGTTGTAGTGACCTAAACCTAAAGCTAACCTAACATTTCTGGGTGTGTTTTCATCTCTGAACATTTGCATCTTTATGAGGAGGATGGGTGCAGCTTGGTGTGAGAAATTATTACTATGAGACAGTGCAGTTTACATAATATTTACTACTCCTCTCAGGAGAGTTGTAAACAGTCTTTTTTTTTTACTTTCAGGGTTCTGGAAACTGTACAAAGTGTGCCAACTTCCAGGATGGACTGTTCTGTGTGTCTCGCTGTCCCCAAGGCATGCCAGGGGAGGACGACATGCTAGTGTGGAAATATGTGGATGAGAATAAAGTGTGCCAGCTATGCCACGAAAACTGCACTCAGGGGTAAGAGCATTGTTCAGCCAACCTGAGAACTGGCTCTACATTTTCCCTGTGTTGCAAACATTTGTCTGTCGTAATGTTGATGCAGTAACTTAATCCAAGCCAGAAGGATCAGCTGCGGTTCTGTTGGCACAGATTGGAGAGCGAGGTCGGCTTTCAATATGAAGCAATTTTTGCCGAGATTGGTGATGAAATCGGACAATTTAGGAGAGATGTTGTGGACTAAGATGAAAGGAAAATACCACTGATTTGACAGTTTTGCTAATTTAGAAATGTATATATTGATACCATAATTTAGAGATTTCTGATTACTTTGATTTGCATTGGTTTCCATTCAGTTCAGTATTCAATGGATAAAGGTCTACATTGCATTATAGAAAAGAAGAAATTAACTGAGAAAGAAAGGAAAGCAGACTTAATGTTCACATTGATGGAGTATCCACATTCAGCCATGGTGGTGGCTGGTCGGTATAGTGATGAGTAATGAGGGAAGTGGTTCAGGGATAACAGAATGTCCTTTAATCCACTGCAAGGCGCTGTGTTGATGAGCTTTTGTCTTGTGCAACTTTTTATGTAGACAAATATGATAAAGAATTTTCCACAACTTTTCCTGGCATCTTTTTTGCACTCACACAGTTGAACAGTTTTTCATTAAATTAAATATGTTCGGAATCTACTGATGACTTGATGAATTTCCAGCGTGAAAGCACAGTGACGATAAGCATTCTCTGCATTGATTCTTTTACAGGTGCAATGGGGCTGGTCTCCAAGGCTGCCAGAATAAAAGGTAAGTAAATACAGTAACACTGATAATTGATGCTGAAGTATACACCGAGTTTGCCTAAGTTCTGCATTCTAAATCTAATCTCCTCCTCCTCCTCTCCTTGTTTATTGAATTTGTAAATGTGCTCTGTTTTCTATCTGCATTTTTAAATCAGCTTCCACCTGTCTTTCAGCCCTTCTGGTCTTTCCATGATTGCGGCTGGTGTAGTTGGTGGACTGCTGGCTGTTCTTATTGCGGCCCTGTCTGTCTTCGTGTTGCTACGCCGACGCCACATCAAGAGGAAGAGAACCATGCGCAGACTTCTCCAAGAGAGAGCGGTAAGATGAGGGTTAATTTACAGGGATATAAGCTGTACTGTTTGCAAGAGAGTATGTAAGATATTCAATCCGTCTTTTCCAGTTGGTTGAACCTTTGACTCCAAGTGGAGAGGCACCAAACCAGGCTCTGCTGCGGATCCTGAAGGAGCCTGAATTTAAGAAAATCAAAGTGCTGGGATCAGGAGCTTTTGGTACAGTTTACAAGGTAATAACACGCTTCAGATTCGTGTCTCAAAACACCTTGTTGTCAAAATTACACTCCAGCACTGAGCTTTACTGAAGCTGGAGCTCAGGAGTACTGTATATGCCAAGTTTACATAACCAACACCCGTCAGTGTTTTCGCTCATCTACATCTGTTGTCAATTTTTCAATTAAAAGACACATTTTCAACTTGCCAGATCATGCATGAGTGACTCCACTCACACTTTCAGTGCTGTGTGTGTACGCACATACTTTTGTGTGTTTACACAGTGACATTGAGGGGACTTGAATATTTTGAATACGGGAACAAAGGCTAGTCTCTACAAAGTTAACCATCTATTTTAGGGTTGCTTTTAGGTTAAGGTCAGGGTAAATCCCCAGACAGAGAATGTAAGTCAAAACAGTTTTCTTAGTACAAAAACAATTGTGCATGTGTGTTCTTGAATTTCTATCTTTGTGAGGACCAATTTGAGTTTTAGACCTTGACAGTTTTTTGGAAAGTAAGCAATTTTTTCAAAGGTCTATTTGAGGATAAAGACTTGGTTCTAGGTTTAAGGTTGGAATTGGGTTTAAGTTATGGTTAAGGGGTAAAGGTTGGGATTAGCCATTTAGTTGTGAAGGCTAAGGTTAGCTTTGGTCATTAGTGAAAGAATGAGTCAAACTGCCAACATCACGCTGTAAAAAATACAGGTCAAATCCTGCATTCATAATTATATAATTTTTATTCTATTTACTGTTCCATTATATTTTAGAACTGGTGATAAGTTTTCATATACATTACAGTACAACATTTTAAGTGGAGAGTATAAGTGTTAGGGGGTGGGGTTGTACTCACCTAGTACATACAGTAGATGTCAGCATTTGTAATTGTACTGTATACGCTAACATTTGTCTCTATGCACATAATTCTGCTGTAATTAGAGAATATAAAATAACACACCTGTGTCCATACAGGGCCTGTGGGTTCCAGAGGGAGAGGATGTGAAGATCCCAGTGGCCATCAAGGTTTTGAGAGAGGCCACATCACGAAAAGCAAACAAAGAGATCTTGGACGTAAGTTTACTGATTTATGTGGTACATTATACTGAGTCATAACTAAAAGCCATTCATTTGAAATGTTATTTCCCAGCCTTCAGTAAAGTGTGTGCTGCTGGTGGGAAATGACAGTGGAAATATAAAAAACTATGCATATTTAGTTTTGGAATTATCACAATATTTTCACTGGATTAAAAGGCTCAGAAGTACCTCAATGTGTTGCGCAAAGTGAGTGACAATTATTGCATCCCAGATGTCAAGTTAACTGTAATGTATAGTCTAATTTATAGCACATGCAACTTTATTTGAAACTAATGACTACTAATTCACCTTCTAAAGAAGAATGTGTCATGTTTCCACATGGTGACCCTCTTATGGGGCTGTAGGAAATGGGATTAATTCATTGGATGGCTGTGCGTGGGCGTTGATGTGTAATCCAAGGCTGAGGTGTTCTGCAAAGGAATGCAGTCCTGTAGCCGCGCTGTGAAAGCAGCCTGTGTAAAATGCATTACGTTAACAGCTGAATGGGCATCTTAGATCCTGTGATTTTGTGGTCTTGTTGCTCAGTCATTGTGTATCTGGAAGTTGTGGTGGACACAGCATGTCCTCTGAACTTCATGGCCTAAGGGCAGAGGCTCGCTTTTAAATGTTCTTTGAAGCCTTTTTCTCGTCAGACTGTCTAAATTACAGAGCTCCTAACAATCAAATGGTTATTTACTGAACATTTCTGATACTGTAATAAGCACGTAGAAAATATTTGGGGTACAATTAATGCGCTCATGACAGAACACTACTAAATAAAGCTCAGTTTGAAGTGCTGTTTGCATGGCTCTACTTGTAGGAACTGCTGATTATCGCCATGGTTTTTTCTTTAACTCGCTTTCCTGTTATAACGCTTTCAGCTGAGCCACATAAAATATGCTTGGCTGGGTATGACTGCTGAACAACATTATTTTTTGTGTGTCTTCATGTGCACCACAGGAGGCTTATGTGATGGCCAGCGTGGAACACCCCCACGTGTGTCGTCTGCTTTGCATCTGCCTGACTTCCACAGTGCAGCTCGTCACCCAGCTGATGCCCTATGGCTGCCTGCTGGACTATGTCAAAGAGAACAAGGACAATATCGGCTCCCAGTACCTGCTTAACTGGTGTGTGCAGATCGCCAAGGTAAGAGAGAAACCGTGTAAAGGCTTCAAGTTACATGACAGGTTCTGTTTTACACACCCACTATACATATTAAGTGACCAAGATACAAACAAGTCGATGTTGTTTACTGGCAGTAACAATACTGTTTATCCCATGTCTGTGTAGGCTTTTTTTAGTCATACAGAAAGAGAACAGTACATGCTGCCTGTAACTGCTGAGAAATACTGTTGAATAGTATGACTCAACAGGTGATGATGACCAGTATATCAATGTATCAGATGTGAGGCGCTTATGTAATAACTTCATCGTTTGTTTGACAAAAGGGTATGAACTACCTGGAGGAGCGCCACTTGGTACACCGTGACTTGGCAGCGAGAAATGTTCTGGTGAAGACTCCTCAACATGTCAAGATCACTGACTTTGGTCTGGCCAAACTCCTCAATGCAGATGAGAAAGAGTACCGTGCAGATGGTGGAAAGGTTGGTTAGAGATTAAAGTAGTATAAAGTGTCATTCTGTCTGTCCTGAATATTTCAAAAACACATAAAATTCACTTTAAGTTTTATAGTATTTTGTAGGCCTAAATATGAACAACTTTATTCGTGTATTTATAGCCTGTGACAAATTTTATGCTTGTTAGACAGATGACTTTGTGTAGATGAATTAATTTGTAGTTTTGCTCTAGATTATATCTTATGCAAGTGGTGTAGTATAAATAGTTTTGTCAGTGAACTGTGTTCTACAAGAAATGACAAATCAGATAAATTCCTTCTCTTATCAATATTTGTTTGTGCAACTGAAAGCAGTATTTTCCACACAGAAAAGTAGTACCCAATAATGTTTTTCCCATAATACAGTAAAGTAAATTATATTACAGAATGTCCTATTATTACCTATTACTGCAATTTCCCAGCTTGGGATCAATAATATCTATCTATCTATCTATCTATCTATCTATCTATCTATCTATCTATCTATCTATCTATCTATCTATCTATCTATCTATCTATCTATCTATCTATCTATCTATCTATCTATCTATCTATCTATCTATCTATCTATCTATCTATCTATCTATCTATCTATCTATCTATCTATCTATCATTATTAACTTATTATGTTATCAGAACAACATGTGTGATTTATTATTTATTTCCAAACAGATGATAAAATCATTTTGACTGGTAATGTAATACAATATTCGGTTCCTGTCCAGAGATTTTATTGCTCACCAGAGGTGCAGATTTGGAGACAGTCCTGTTCTTTGAAATTCATCTGGACAAAGGTGGATGTCAAAAACAGACACCTGCTACTGTTGAGATTTCCTTCAATTGTTGTTCTTTCATTCTGAAACATGTTGTTAATTAAACATAACAGTTTTCCTGACAGGAATTGAGTCTTGTGATTGAGGGAGGGACAGTTAATCATCTTTAGTATGGGACTTAATCCATATGCAGCAAACCATCCCTGAAATTATTTTTTTAACTTTGTCTGACACACTTTGTGTGAGGACAGCATACTGTTTCTCATCTCCTATAAATTGAAAGCGGTACCAAAAAATGTTAGCTTTTTCAGTGACTTAATGATAAAATGTGGATTTTTACGTGACCATTGCAATTCTGCACCACTAGGGGACAGTACAGTTACATTACACTTACATTTAAGAAAGCACTACAGTACTTTGACTAGATGTAATTAGGGTACAAATTAAGTCATTATTCATGTTAAAAGGCTATTCCAGATATTGCTGTTGAGAGTCCGGTGGCCACAGTTGAGGCTGCTGGCTCAATGAGCTAATTCATCTTCTCTTTATCCCTCTTTTTAAAAAAAAAACACACAGGCATGTCAAATGTTGCCAGTAAAAGTGATCTGCCAGAATATCTTGTGTGTTATTGTTCCAGTCTCAGCTTATTGTCCAAATGTACTCAAAGGAACATTATGGTTGTGCCTTTATATCATTATTATCATTAAATAGATTATTAAATTACAACTTTTTGTTCCACAGGTACCAATTAAATGGATGGCTCTTGAATCCATCCTGAACAGAACATACACACACCAGAGTGATGTATGGAGTTATGGTAAGTCTTGCGCTTTGGGATATTAACACATGCTCTACCTCTAACCCAGTGAGGCACGAATCCTGCTTGCAATGCAGATTGAGATCCTTGTGTAACTTCAGATATGTAAAACAGCTGAGTTCTGTTCTCCTGAGTATTGGTGACAGTCTCACTGGAGAAATATTTATTCATTGCTAAATCAAGTTTTTTAACAGCGAGTGCGGCGAAAAGAGGAAAGCCATTTTGAAGATTGATAGGATGTTGTTCTTGGATCTAATAAGGCTTGTCAACATTTTAAAACAGAAAATGAGAAGGGAGAACATCTTGCTAGCTTCTGCAATTTTTGGAGGCTGGTAGCACACACCTACACACCAGCAGTCTCAGATGGACAATTGTTGTGTCAACCCACATAAATGGTTCATGTTCACATAAACACACATGCACAGATGCCTACACACACACACACTCTCATATAGAAAACAAACACAGCACAGCTTTCTTGTGTAGGCCAGCTTCCAAATCTTCTTTTTCCCGAGGGTTTGATCATGCCTTCCGCTCAATATGGCAAAAGCATCAGTAGACCCTGGCAGAAGGGACTGGCTTCCTTTCCTCCTTTTCCCTTCTTCAGTTCCTCCAACACAGAGATGCATCCTGCTAACTCCCACTCCTGCAAGCAGAGCCAATTTGTCAACATTTCTATTTTGATGCTGTGTGTTATTTGGAAAGCTTACATCCTGTCACTTTCATTTCTTCTCTTTTATTGGGAGCAAAACAAAGTGAATGACAGCTTGTCTGACTGACATATACCAACTGTCCTCCTTTCTCTAGGTGTAACAGTCTGGGAGCTGATGACATTTGGGACCAAACCATATGATGGGATTCCAGCCAGTGAAATAGCTGGGGTCCTGGAGAAAGGGGAGCGACTGCCTCAACCACCAATCTGTACCATAGATGTCTACATGATTATGGTGAAATGTAAGCTTGGTGTTATGTTGGTTAAAACCCTCTGCTGTCAAGTGCATTGACATGATATTTTCCTTTCTGATCATTATCCCACAGATAATGTGTTTCATCTTATCTTCTAGTCTTAAGATGATATCTGGTGATGTGTGTGTACAGGTTGGATGATTGATGCAGATAGCAGACCTCGTTTCCGGGAACTAATAGCTGAGTTTACAAAGATGGCTCGCGATCCTTCTCGTTATCTGGTCATTCAGGTATAATTTTACCTCAGATATAACAGTCTTCAATATGATTTGATGATGGATTGTAGTAACCTATTGAACACTGTATTTCTATTCCAGGGTGATGACTGCATGCACCTGCCGAGTCCCACAGACACTAAATTGTACCGCAGCCTCATCAGCGGGGAGGACATGGAGGACGCCGTGGATGCAGACGAGTACCTGGTGCCACAACGTGGCTTCTTCAGCAGCCCGAGCACCTCCCACACCCCGCTGCTTCACTCCACAGTAAGCTACTTCCTATAAAAAAAATCTAATGAAAGGTTTTGGATTGGGTGTGTCCGTCAGTCTGCCTTTCTGTCTCAGGTGACATTTGTGGTGCCACGGTTAAGATTTTGTCAAAAGCTGATTGAATGACGCATCCTATCACAAAGAATTTCCTAAAAAAAAACCATACCGCTGCTGATATTTCATAAATCCTCCTAAATGCCTTTAAAGACAACATTTTAAATTAACCTTAAAAGCCAGTGCTGTCACACCACTCCAAGAAAAGAAGTGCATTTTTTGTCATATAATTACTGTAGGCAACCAATCATGCTCAGAACAGCAAAATAATTTAACATGAGTGGTCTCTGAGTCTGACTGACTTCCTGTATATGTAGAACTTCCACAAGGTGGTGTAGTTTTACTGAAAATGTACCCTATATTACTTATTATTATATTTTGTTTGATTGTCCACCTACAGTATTATTATAAAGTACACTGACTGGCCTAATAGTGTGCTGTCATTAATATTAAAAGGTGTCGTCTAGGACACTACTGCACTCAATGCTGGAGTAAATTTCAAAAAGAAAAAAGTATTAAATAAACCAAAGTGCTAGATAATAGCAGAGAAAGAGACAGAGAAAGACCCATAAAATGAAATATACTGTAAAGACTATGGTATATATGTAAAAGTACTTATATATGAACAAAAGGCCAATTCTACAACTACATTAGAAAATGGGCTACAGTTACATTTAAACTGTAGCAGCTGTTGACCTAATCCACCAATCATAAAGAGATTCAGCCAGAATGAGCCAGAATATTGTCACAATACTTTATGCTGTAAACTTTAGCCGTGACAGGGTCAACGGGAAAAAAAAGTTAATTGGTACATGCACTGAAGAACAGATACCTTTACTACAGACACACACACCAGAGCCACTCGCATTGACCTTCTCTATCCAAACAGTGACAGAGGAATACCAGCTGCTTTGGAGGCAGGAAGCAGCGTTCATTTATTAAGAAATTGCACCAGCAGTCCAACACTTAACCAACATGCAGTCAATTGTTTGAAAATGTAATTGTTCTATTTTAACTCGTCTTTTGGGAAATGGGATTTCTGCATAAATCATCAACCAGTGAGTCATTTTTTCTACCTCGTTGAAGGTAATTACCTTTCACTTTGAAGCAGCAGAAGCGGAACACTGACTATTCGACTGAATCTGGGTGATCATACAGCGCCGAGAGTTAAACTAATTGTTCTGACTTGAACCAAGGAGGCCAGTAGCACCTGGCCTGAACCTTCCTGACCCCAGTTGCCCTCATTCTGTTTAACAGTCACCACTGGGACCATTTCTCCTCTTCCTGACCCTACCCCCTCGTCCTCATCATCATCTCCTCTCCCACGTTTCCTCCCAGGTGCCCTTTGATTGATGAGAGCTGAATGAGCAGAACTATTCCACCTTAGGTTCAGTGAAGGCCATGCGTAGGTCTGGCTTTTCTACCTGGGATCATTGCCGGCCACAGACAGCCTGGTTAGCTCATATAAGCTTTAAAGTTTGATTACCTTTGCAGGCAACCAGGCGAACCTTTTGAAATCTTTGTCCAACAAAAGCTCAGCATAAGCCTGCTTTTGTAATATCACTGTTGGGGCAAGGCCCACAGTGGGTCGAGAAATTTTTTACACATGGTCGCTCCTTCAGCGTGTTTAATTTCCTTTTCTTGTTGGAAGTAATTGCATTGCCACAGCTGTCACTCTCTTCTCTTCATTTGCTCGGTTTCCATGGTTTTAAGGCCGTTCACAGTTCTTTGACTTGAGAATATGACAGACACAACAAAACCTGTCACATAGCCTGAATGAATATGAATCTGCTCGGTGGACATTTATTTTGATCCTCATCGGCTTGTTCTGAGATGACAGCTATGGTTCCTCGGGCACCATAAAAACATATTACTATCACTATTCAAAGGGAACTTATTGTCCCCTGAGAGGCTTTAAAATAATTCACATTGACCAAATGAAACACACTTGCTTCAGAAAAACTATAAATAAAAGACGGAAGTCAGAATCCAAGACAACCAAAGTAAAAGATAAATAACGATGAAGGATTTGCAGAATCAAAAATTGAGCACAACAGAGTATTGTTTTGTTACATCTTAAACCTTTATTCACTTCATGTCTTCTTTATGGATAATGGAGGCATATTTTATATAGTTTATATAATTTGTGGATCTATAAAACACAATTTCCTGCTCTGCATTCGCTGTCATCACGAGACATTAACTCAACTTTATATTGTCTACTTTGCAGAGCTTCAACAGTAGCATTGGAACATGCCACAGCAGAAATGGCTTATTGGTAAGAGAAAGTAAATCCTTTAAACTGCATTTAAAGGAAATTACTGTGTTATTTTTAGGGCCACAGCCCTAAAAACCTGTCCTATTTTTGCAGAATGGGCTCCCGAGCAGAGATGGAAGTATCGTTCTCCGGTATATTCCTGACCCCACAGACAAATTTTTAGATGATGCCTTCCAGCCAGCTCCAGGCAAGTATCCTCCTACTTCAAAATCGCTACTCTAATGAATTTCAGTAAAGCTCTCCCCTTGTCCCTTTGTTTGATTCAGTGAGGAAGTGGGACATCTAGTGGACAAGAAGAATATTGCTATAGTTTTGTACTGATGTCCCAGCTGAAGAACATATACCATTTACCATTGAACCATTTGGTGTAATCTTTCTTCCAATGTTTTTAAAGGACCATTAGTGCATAATTCTTTATTCTTGGTGACTGTAGGGGGGGGGGGGGATTTGAAATGAAAATAGTGTAATAGTGTAACCTGTGAACCTGCCCCCTTTTTTATTAGATTACCACCATACAGGTGCGTTTCTGTTTGTCAGCTGCTGACTATGATGGAATATTTTTCAGATCAGCCACATTTTCGCCACCTGCGGCTCTACTGATTTAGTATAGCCCTTCTTTATAGTTGGGGGATTTGTGAGAGATACATTTCTAAAAGATTAGTCAAAATCTATGTAGCAGGCGTCACGTTACATAATGAATTATAGGTTCTAGTAAGGATGAAGCTCCACAAACTACTGAATCCTACAGTTCCCATAATCTCAAATCTCAATAGCATCTTCTTGTTAGACCCTCCAGTTTGTAACGCAGGTCTTCCAGTCAAAGTCACAATAATGACGATGATAACATGATTTGTAGTTAATGGGTTGAAATGTGCAATACCACAATTATGGTCTGTTGGTCTGATGGTCTCATAATAAACTGCCTTCTAGTTTTTTTTTTTTAGCTGTGTATACACTTAATGGAAAACTATCTAGTGCCCTTGCTAACGTTACTGACTTTCTTACAGACTACATGAACCACAACGGAGTCTCAGATATGATGAATCCCATCTACCAGCACCCCGGTCCACCCCGCACCATCCTCCCCACCATCTCTTCAGATGACACAGAGACTGAGTACCTGAACTGCTTTAAAAACGGGAACAGTGGACCTGAGTACCTCAACGACGTTCCATCCCCCGCCATCCCCCTGGGCATTTCCAACGGCACGGTCCACAGCATTCAGAAATACCAGCCCCAGAATAGCATAGACAACCCTGATTACCAACAGGATTTCACTCCAACCTTCAAGACCCATGCCAACGGACACATCCCTGCGGCAGAGAACGCAGAGTACCTGGGCCCAGACTGAGGACATAGTGGATACAGACAAGAAATAACAGACTGTTTTCTGATCCATTAAGAAAGGGCATTGACGTCTTGGCTGGGAAAGCATAGTTAAGTGGTACCATCAATTATCCTATATATGTTGTATCCTGTCTTAACGAGTCAGGACGCACTCTGTACAGCTTCCTGTGTTGTTTGCATGCAGTCATACTTGTCACGCAAAACCCCTCTCATTCCAAAGAGTTTTTTCTTACCACCAAACTCCAAATGACTCTTTCATGTTAAAAGCTGGACTGACACTGACTCGTACATGACTCAGTTGAACTGAGAGTTGCTGGACCAGACACCTTCATGTTGGAACCCCTGTCAGAAAGTGAAAGAAAAATCTCAGAAGTGAAAATCTCTCTACAAGTTGTGCACAACGGGGCTGCTATTAAATGTAAACGCCTCCATCTTTTCAGGAGGCAGAAACTCTGTTGCACAGAACAGAAACTGGCAGCTCAACCCAAAACACAACCTAAGGTACACGTGTTGTAGAATCACAAGTTAGACACACAATTAGTCAACAGTATTGACATGTTGGAAATTAAACACCCACTGGTGCTTTCGCTTGATGCTGAAGCCTCGCAACATTTCTCCATGGTGTGGTCAAGATGATTTAAAGCGAGGTTTTAAAAGTAAAATGATGGCTTGACTGTTGGTGTCCTCTGTGGCCTGACGAAACTCATCCTAAAGGATGAGTCAATGAGGAAACAAAATGTTGCAATGTGTAGAATGTATAGTCTGTTTAAATGGGAATACTGTTGAATTGTAACATTTGAATATGTTAACTTTATGCTCTAAGACAGTTCTGTATGTACTACAAACTGGTTGTGTTCTTTCTTGGATTGAAAGAAGAAAGTTTCCTGTGTCCCCTGATATATGGTATCACACTAACTATGTAGAGAATGTAATGGTAAATATAGCAAATGTGATTGTGGTTGTATTCACACTGCTGTGCTTTGCGGTTGAAAGCCTGCAGCACTCTTGTAGCACCAAGCATATTTGTGTAGACCCACAAAGTTAGCTTAGCTCTGAGCTTTGTATCAGCACGGTACTTTGTGTACCCAGGAAGCGTTTTCTGGCCCTTTTCTTACTGATGACTTCCTGCAGACAGTATCTTTTGTAACAAACTCTCTTTTACTGATCAACATGTTGACATGGCAACAAAAAAATCACCAGGAAAAACTGCTTTCAGAATAGAAGAGAAAAATGCTTGTTGAACTGTCTTAGGTCATGTAAGTAACTTGTTTGAATTTTTAGATTGGATGTAGTTTTCCCTGTAAACGTGAGTTGTTTTATTTGAATGGCTCTTTGTCGAGTCAGAAACTAGTAATGTTTATAGTCTAATGTATCTATATTATCTACTTTTCCTTGTCTGATTTATTTCTATTTTTTTAACTAAAGTTGTTTTACACACGGTGTTGACACCATATCTATGAATCTGCTCTTAGCTTTAAAGTCTTGTAGTCTTGCAAGAGCATTAACTTTTCCAATATTATTCCTAGTTTTAAAGGAATATACTATTGTAGCAACCCATAAGCCTACTTTTGCAGATTTTACACAGGTACATGTACAGAACAGCTGATTATGCTGCAATATACCCCAAAATAGTCACCTATAATTTATACTCAGTACACAGTTTTGTCACATCATACGTGAATATGCACTTAATCCTGAATTGTGATGATTTCATTCAAAAGTGAACATGAATAAATCTTTTCTATGGAAATACATCTTGTTTGTTTTTCACAAGTTAAGGGTGAGATACAGGAAACCCAAGCATTCACTAATCTACTCAGTCTTTTTATCTTGACGGCTGATGCACTTCAAGTAACAACTTGATGAAATTCGTTTAGCAGATAATCAGCGGAACAAGAACAGCATCCACCCTGATGTGTTGCTGTTCACACTCATACATTTGAAAGGCTCTATAGTTAAGAGTGTGAGTACCAGCTTTTGACCACCATGCTGGGACAAACTGCCACTGATGAGATAAAAGAGGTTGATTGAGCATTAGAGGACAAAACCTCATTCTATACATACTATCTAATGTACACAATAAAACAATGACTTTTAATTTTCAATAGATCAAAGCTAAGCTCTACTTGTTGTTTTCTATTCAGTGGCTAACTCACTGTAACTAGGGTGTAATTCATTTTAATTAAGGGGTTTCTTTCCAGCGCAAGATATGGTGCTGTCTGCTGTGTTCGGGACATAAGAGAATAAGTGAAATTTAAATGTTCACCTGAGGTTATATTAAACTTTCCAATTATAATAAGCTGTAAGCTCAAAGAACTGCCAGAACAGCAGATTCTGACCAATTTAAAACTTCAGAGTGGTTAAACTGACGATGGTAAGATGATGTTAGACGTTGGGGTGTTAGGGATTAGGGTTATGTTCAGTCTTTGCAGGTTTTAGAGATGAAAAACTGTTGTATTTAAGCATTATAGGTTGCAGATGTTGAGTTTGGATCTAAAGCAGCTGAAAACTTCAAATCTTAACAAGCAACAGTCAAGGTTAGGGGGAAAAAAAACATTCATATGATAACATTAATGTAAGTTTAACACAAAGACTCAGCTAATCTGCTCCATCAGGACTGTTTGGGTGTGCTTTGATCAGTTTGGATTGGATTGACAGTTTCCCCAAACATTATTTGGAGTAACATATCATTAACAGTAACAGAGCACAAGGATGTGTTCACATGAAAACATAAAAACACACATAAGAGCACACATCAATAGTTAACGGGCTTCCTTTTGAAAGAGGAGATCAATGTTTGATTTCATTAATAAAAAGTGAGGGCTTTGAAATTGTATATTTATGGCTGTGGTATTTCCCCATTATTATTATTATTATTATTAATAATAATATTATTAATAATAAAATCATAATCCTAATATCGTAATTTCCATAAAGATTCTGCATAAAGACAATGTCACTGTAGGTGTAACCAACCAAGAATTGTTCTCATTTTGGCATTCAATAGTATATTAATCATATTCTGTTTAACGTGGCATAGAGGATTTCAACAAGCATTCACAAGTTTTCCTATGATTTCAAGAAGGTTGGGGAAGTTAGTCCCTTCAAGCCAACAATAATAATTTAGGATATTATTCCCAAATGGAATACTCCCTGCTTTCTGAAATATAATAGATTGTTTGTTCATATAAGTTTCCATCTCTTTACTTTTATTTTTTATAATATTGCTCTTCGTCCAGGGGTGTAAATTAAGATAATTAAAAACTATTTCCAGGGCCTGTAGAGTAGACCAGTAGTAGTAGTTATGGGGTTTAGCTGCAGTGCGTCCTCAGCGTCGATTGGTGGCAGCACTGAGGCAACAGTTTGTCTCCGCCCCAAACAAAAAAACATCAGAGGAAGAAGAAAGCATCAACAAGATATGCGAAACTAACCAGAGTGTCACTTTGAATCGATCTCTTCAGTCAGAGGGATGGGGGTCCTGCGAGGGAGTCGCGTTTTATGTTTACTTTTCTTCATTATACTGCTGTCAGAGCGACATTTTCGATGGGTAAGTTCAACTTAACGTTCGTGGTTTCGTGACTAAAACATGACTCAGCTCGGTCTGCAGTTGCTAACTTTAGTGTGATGTTTATATGAGGCGGCTAACGAAACTGAGATCCAGGTCTCGGTTGTTTTTTTTTTTTTTTTTTTGCTATTTGGGGGTTTTTACTCCTTTTTTTTAAAAAAAAAAGCTACCGTTATTACTAACGTTAGTTGGAAACTGAACCAGCCTCGTAACGTTAGCGAAATCCGACCGTTGATAGACGTTAGCTTTGACATTCCTTAGCGACGGCCGGTGTTGACACAGGTTGTATCCCGGAGAGCTGGTGTCGAAAAGAAAGTTCCCTACTGCCATGCTCTGTGGTTTCGATCAAAATCACCACCCTGTTTCAACTTGGTGTTAAGATAATGCTTAACTTTATTAAAAAAAAAAGTGTTCCCGTTCATTACTCCAAGCCATACATATTAACCCGAGTTTAAATGGCTTGCAAAACTGAAATGAAAACGGAATGTGCATCGTTTGCAAATCCAGTGCAAGTTATTTAGCCAAGCAGGGGAAAACTTTAGATGGTTTCGATAGCTGACTTCGATTAAATTGAACATTCAGTTGGATATGTGGTTGTAGCTGAAGTGTTATATTATAATGTAACGTTAGTAGTTGTTGCAAAACATAACATGCTTGAATGTCCCAACAGCTGTATTAAAGGATTAAATTGTAATATTAAACGATACATAAACTATTAAGTACAGAGAAAAAAACGCCATAATCCTTGAGGCGATTACAAAAATAGATTAGGATCAAATGAATGATGGACTTGAATGTGTAATATACAAGATCCCCCTTTTGTGTAGCAAATGTGTGCTGCTGTGGTTTAATTGGGAGACTGTTATCCTTTAACCATAAATGATGTGAATCCAATCGTCATTTGAGGGTATTTTTTTTAAATGAAATTTCAAAACAAGCCAGACAAAAACCTACGTCACACGTGTTCCTGCTCCACCCTTTTGCTTTGAATTAATCAGATGTAAATAATCACTCACTTGCTTGTCATTACTAGTCTCTCTGCTCCCTGTGTGGCATTGTTTGCCTCTTTTTCATGAGGTAATTAGGTCAACCCACTGCAATGCATATAACTACTCCAAAACTACGCATTCTTGTCACCAGATCTGAATCTGATTAATCATTACTGTTTTAAGATAAGATATCAGCGTCCTAGTAAAAAACAACAAAGCTGTGGGGTGAAAATATTGATTATTTGGAGACTGCAGTGAACAAGCATTTAAGTATTTTACTGGAATTTGTGTGTGTGCCCGTTTCTTTTGCAGGGTTCAGGGTTGTAAATCAGCTTTCTGTTATGTTTATGAATCCCTTGCAGGGCTTTGGTTCTCACTCAGTATAAACAAGTCTCTTACATCTAGCTCTGAGTCTTGAAAGTGAACTTTTAACAAATAGTTAGTATACTTGGAGTACTGGTCTAGTCTGCAGCTGCATAAAACTCCAACTGAGGTAATAATAACATTCGAAGGCTACCCTTGAACTCAATCCCACGAGGCACAAGTAGGACAGAGTGTAACACAGGGTTTACTTATAAAACAGTTTGTAGAGTAAGTGAATTAACTTCCCTAAGTCAGCCCTCCCAACAAAGAACACGTGAGCTCTGATGCTGAATAGGCAGATGACGGAAAACTTTGACTGCAGAAGCTATGAATAGTACTAAACATAGTACTAAACAATGGTGATTGTATGTTATTGTTATTTCTAAAAACATCAGATTTAAAATGAATATTTCAAGTTCTCAAATTGATCTTGGTTGTAGCCATATCAACAGTGGCCGAATTGTTGTTTTGCCATAGTAACCTGACCACAGTTCTCCTTTTTCTGGCCCTCCTTTTGGCACTGACGTCGGGTTAGTCAAGATGACCCTCTGGCTTTCTTACAAGACCTACTCTCCAAATGCATGATTGCAAAGAAACATTTTTGCAGAAGTGAAATTTGTATTTTCAGACATACAAGGTATGAGATACTAGTCACACAGGATATGAAACATGCCTAGAGGTCTAACCTGGTAAATATAAAACCTAAAAGGGGACACGTTTAACCGCAGTTCAGAATAGTTTCGTCCGTTTCTGCCAAAACTAAGTTACATTGATCCACCTTAGCCTTTACAGGAAGTCTGTGTGTTTGTGATATCTTTGATTTGTTTGCAAGACATTGTTCTTGTCCTCACTAGACAAAAATCAAAGTAGGTTTCTATCAGTAAAAAGCGAAATAAGATTCAACAGACTCTGCAGAAAAAAGAAATATACTGCAGGCACACCAGCACACAAATAGCCAACACTGCACAAATGATCACTGTGTTTCTGCTGTCTTTCTGTCAGGTCGAGGCCCAGCACTGTGTGTGGTATGGCGAGTGTGGGGAGTCCGTAAAGGTGCCCGGAAAAAAGTACAACTGCAAATACACTGGTTCTCCCATCCCGCTCCAGTCTGAGGGTTATGACCTTCTCACGGTACATACAGTGTCATGATGTTTTGTGCTGTTATTTCTGACATTTGATGCTCAAACCAATCTTTTGTATTATACTTCTGCTTTCCAGCTGGGCTTTATTTTGCACTGTGGAAATATTCTACCAAAGTGACGTCATCCTTTCTGTGTTTGCATACAGGAGCTTTGTCCTGGATATGACTATGGAAACCGAAGCCTTTGCTGTAATGTTGACCAGTTGCGCACTCTCAAAGGGAGTCTCCAGCTGCCCCTACAGTTCCTGTCTCGGTATGCACTGCAGTTATAACATTAACTAATGAAGCACATGATATACTTGGAAAGGGCATTATCATTCCCCGTCTTTGAAACACAAAGAGTAGACTGTCTGTCCTTTTAAATCTGTCAGTATTTTTTATTTTCAAATCTTATATGTTCTTTGGGTTAGGGTTAATTTTTTTTAGATTCTGCTTCTCACACGCACTACGTCTGTGTGCAGGTGTCCCGCCTGTTTCTTCAATCTGATGAACCTCTTCTGTGAGCTGACATGCAGCCCCCACCAGAGTCAGTTCATGAATGCCACCAAGGTCGACAATATAAATGTACTGGAAGTGCAGTACTATATTGGACAGACATTCTCTAATGGTAAGTTCACAGCCAGATATTCATTTAGAAATTAGCTTCACAGCTTCACCCTCATGCTGTGTAAACCTCATCAGTTCCCTTCTCAAACATGAAGTTGTACTCTCAGTTGTGTAATTCTGTTGTTAACTAACTCATAAATGATTCATTTTTGAGCAAATACAAGGAGGGATGGACAATTCGACGTATTGAAAATCTTGAGGTTTCCCTAGAAATAATTCAATATTACTTTTTCAGCCATGTACAATGCCTGTAGGGACGTCCAGGCACCATCCAGCAATGTGAAGGCTTTATCGCTGCTTTGTGGGAAGGATGCAAAGGACTGCAATGCTACTAACTGGATCCAGTACATGTTCAACATTGAGAATGGACAGACGCCCTTTCCTATCATTCCAATATTCTCAGGTAAATAATAATGTATTAGGTTATGTTCCTACTGCAGACAAATATTTATATTCCTTTAAGTAAGTTAAACAGATGTGTACCTTTGCTACATCTGTTCTGCTGTGTATGATTAATGCACAATGCCATGTTATTCTGTTTCTTTGCTTTAGATGTCCCTGTGTCTGGTTACACTCCCATGAACAACAAGACATATGCCTGCACAGAGGGCCTGGAAGACGGTTCGGGTCCCTGCTCCTGTCAGGATTGCACAAAGGCCTGTGGCCCCAAACCTGTCCCTCCTCCTCTCCCTCCTCCCTGGACTATCCTTGGCATCGATGCCATGACTGTCATCATGTGGATCTCTTATATTGCCTTCCTGCTTATCTTTATTGGAGCTGTACTGGGAGCTTGGTGTTACAGGTAAAGAACTGGTGGTGTTTTCTATTAGGAATCGTGTTATACCCACAAACCCTTTTCACCTGCTGTGGAAAAAAATATGTTGGTTCTGATGCTTGCTTTAGAAGTTAATATTGAATTGGCCTGTGTGGTTCTTTGTGCATACAGGAAAAGGACCATCATGTCCGAGTATGGCCCCATATTGGACAGCAATAATCCACTGTCTCTCAACAGTGATAACCCCGACCAAGGTATTGTAATCCAAGATACTGAGTCAAATTCTTTCTGTAATCTGTTTGTCGTACTAGTTATTGCATTGGTCTTTAGGTGTAATACAAATAATAACTTTGCTGCACCATTGCTGCGTGATGTAAACTAACTTTTACTCTTTCTCTCCTCTCAGTAAACGCATCATGCTGTGAAACACTGGGTGAACGCTTCGAGAATGTTCTGCGGCTCATCTTTAGCTCCTGGGGTTCCTTCTGTGTGCGGCATCCCTCTGTGGTCCTATTGGGCAGCCTGATCCTGGTGGTCGCCTCCTCCGGGGGCCTGGTCTATATGCGCATCACCACAGACCCCGTTGATCTGTGGTCGGCTCCCACCAGCCAGGCTCGTCAAGAGAAGGACTACTTTGACAGCCACTTCGGACCCTTCTTTAGAACTGTGCAGCTGATTATAACCAGTCCACTCCAAATCAATTTCACCTATTCCCCATACTTTGGAGGATCAGATGTCCCATTTGGAGCTGTCCTGGACAAAGACATTCTACACCAGGTGCGTTAGTGAGGAGAGGTGAATTTGGGAGGATGGATCATTAGCAATATTTTGTAATTAAAGCCACTGTGTAGAAGTATTGATTATGTTACCGGATTAGATGTAAACTTTCCGTGTGAAGAGCAGCTGCATCTCTGAAACTGTGGTTTATTGTTTCCTCTTTTTCTACTTTTCTTTGTTCTAACCGCACCCAACCAGGTGCTGGATCTGCAGCTCGACATCGAAGGACTTGTAGCCACATACGAGGGCCAAAACGTCACCCTGAAGGATCTCTGCTTGGCTCCGCTGGCCCCGTACAATAACAACTGTACCATCCTGAGTGTCCTCAACTACTTCCAGAACAGCCACGCTGTACTGGACCACAGCATAGGAGACGACTTCTTTGTCTATGCTGACTTTCACAGCCACTTCCTCTACTGTGTCAGGTGATTTTCTTTAAATTGGTTAAATGTTATTCTTTGTTCCTTTTCAGATGTTAACCAATAAGCTGGTGCTCCTCTGGTCTTAAAACTTCCCTTGTAAACACGTCTTAATTGCCGGCAGAGACCTAGAAAATACACCAGTGTTGAAATTTTTCAGGAATGTCATGCAGTTGTTCTTTATCTGTTTTTTTTTTTTTTGACTGCACTACAATAAGGTCAGACAATAGTAAAACATTCACTGGTGAATGGGTTCATCAAATAATGACTGTGATTTTTCAGGCTATTAACTGTTGGTCTTTTCTTCTACAGTGCGCCAGCATCCCTCAATGACACCACTCTCCTCCATGACCCCTGTTTAGGCACTTTTGGTGGCCCCGTCTTCCCTTGGCTGGCCCTGGGAGGTTACGACGGTGAGCTGGATTAACTCTTTTAGTGGGCAGAGAGAAAACAGCAGCAGTTTTTTCCTTTTATAGTAGTTACATAATCTGTTTACAACCTCCGTAGATTATTTCATTGTACTGTAGGAAAAAAATTGTGCTCTTTTGGTCATCAACATTTCCACTTCTTTCTGATAAACATGAGAGTTGTCATAGCAACCAACAATTTATGATTTAAATGCCATGCTTTTATGGGGAACTTTATGTATTGTCTCCACAGAGACGAGAGGAATGCTTAGCTGTAGCTGCCAGTTCAGTAATCTATTAATGTGGTTGATAACAGAATTGTGTAAGTAAGGATTTTTTTTCTTCCACATTACAGAAACCAACTACAACAATGCCACTGCTCTAGTGATCACCTTTCCACTCAACAACTACCTGAATGACACAGTCAAGTTGGGCAAAGCTCTGGCATGGGAGAAAGAGTGAGACAACTATCTGTTTAGCTAACAAAAGTCACTGTTTAGTGGTGTCTTTGCATGTACTTATTGTTTTTCTTCTGTATGTGTGCGTGCATTCCAGATTCATCAGTTTCATGAAGAACTACAAAAACCCCAACCTGACCGTAGCCTTTAGTGCAGAGAGGAGTATTGAAGATGAATTAGACAGAGAGAGCAACAGTGACATCAGGACCATAGTAATCAGCTATGCCATTATGTTCATCTATATCTCCCTGGCCCTGGGTCACATACACAGCTTCAACAGAGTGATGGTAAGAGCCTAAGCAATTAAGTTATTGTCGTTTATAATTTTTGTCCTATGTGTCAAGCATTTTTTCCAACCCAAGTGTTACCATAATCCATATCTAAAATAGTTTTACACATTACGCACAGTTTCTGCCTGTGAAGTAAGAGCCTGACGTCAACAAAACTAGTACAACATGCTTGACAGCTTCCTGCAGCTCAAGTGTAAAAGAGAGCAGCCAAAGGGAAGAATCTGACTGATCCTTTATCTTTTTGCCCGTACAGGTGGACTCTAAGATCTCACTGGGTATAGCGGGTATCCTGATTGTGCTCAGCTCTGTAGCCTCCTCACTGGGGATCTTCAGCTATTTTGGTATCCCCCTCACCCTTATTGTGATCGAAGTCATTCCTTTCTTGGTGCTCGCTGTTGGAGTGGACAACATCTTTATTATAGTACAGACATATCAGGTAACGCCCCTTCTCCCAATCCATTAAACTGTTATTATTACTTATCATTATTACCCCTTGATTTGTCATGTGGTTCCTCTTTAAAAAGACTCCTTAATTTCAGTGAGGATACCTTTTTTTTTTCATGCTGCCAATAAAACTTGCTAAAAGTGATTTCCATTTGTATTTCTCAACAGAGGGATGAGCGGATGCCCCAAGAGGAACTTCACCAACAGATTGGTCGTATTCTTGGAGACGTAGCCCCGAGCATGTTCCTCTCCTCCTTCTCCGAGACAGTGGCCTTTTTCTTGGGTAAAACAGATCACTCTTAAATACACCCTATATGTACACAGACAATGTACATTAATTTATATGTATTCTAAAAATCATAAGGTTCCACCATCATTTAAGAAACGTGTTTTTTGTAGACAAGATTGACGCACAAAAAGTGCAATAGTTTCCTGGTTAGTCACATGCTGATAAAATTGTTGACTTTGTCTTCCGTAGGAGCCCTGTCCAACATGCCTGCAGTGAGGACATTCTCTCTGTTTGCTGGCTTGGCGGTTTTTATTGATTTCCTGTTGCAGATCAGCTGCTTTGTCAGCTTGCTAGGCCTGGACGCCAAAAGACAGGAGGTGAGACTGGGTCTTTCCTGCAGACTTAACCAATCTCTGCTTGAGCTAATTTAACCGGTCCTCCTCTCTAGTTGATTGTTTTAGTCAGTGCAGTGATTGTAGCAGTGAAAACTTGCTCTTGGGCCCAAGTGACACATGGCTGAAGCATTGTTCTAAATGACTCCACCTTCAAGTTAGATACAGACTTAGTTACACTTAATCAAATGCCGTGTTGTCTCTTGTGTTTTAAAAGGGGAATCGTCTTGACATCATTTGCTGTGTAAAGCTGCCAGAAGGTCAGGAAGCAAAGACAGAGAGCTTCCTCTTCCGTTTTTTCAAGAAAGTATATGCCCCATTCATCCTCAAAGAGTGGGTGCGACCGATCATAGTAAGTACCTCCAGTGATACGTTACCACTCATGCACATCTCTCATCTGTTTTCTCAACTCCCCCTGCTATGTATTATTCTAAGGTGTTGATAGATTAAGTTCGACTCATATTTTTCATTGAGTAGAACATAGTGGTTGTTGGCTATATGATGATTATGTTTGTTTTTTCATTTCTCTTTGTTTAGGTGGCAGTGTTTGTGGGAATGCTCTCCTTCAGTATTGCTGTGGTGAATAAAGTAGAGATTGGACTGGACCAAAAACTCTCCATGCCTGATGTAAGTCTTTTTTAATAGATATGGGCAAAGTAGAATGGTTAATGGTTAACATTTTTAGTTGCACTTTTAGTTTTACTTCTCCTGTCAGTCATCCATGAAGATAACGCAATTGCATGTGATGTGATTATTTGAATTTCCATAACATTACATTTTTGCAGAAGTATAATAGCATTGACTTGCATTCCTGTACTTGTGGAGGTCTATTCTGATGATCTGTCTCTCCATCTAGGATTCGTATGTGCTGGACTACTTTAAGAACTTGACTGAGTATCTCCACACTGGAGCTCCAGTGTACTTTGTGGTAGAGGACGGTCTCAACTACAGTAGTCCAGAGGGCCAGAATGTTGTGTGTGGAGGGGTAGGCTGCAACAACAACTCTCTAGTCCAGCAGGTCTATGCCGCCTCACTCATCAGCAACTAGTAAGTCTGAGCTATGATGATTTAGATCACAGATCGTACAATTGCACATATCAAAAATGATATTAAAGATAAAAAATAAACATTAATTAACAAAAATTGTCTGAGAACCTGTTTGACAATTATTTAATTTTATTACTTTGAACATACATTTGAATGTAAATGGCATCCAGGCACCACAACTTCAAAACTTGAGAGTTAAGTTTAGGTGAAGGTCATAAAAAGATTACTGATTTAACCTATTATTTTAGGATCTATTCAATTTCACTTTTCCTTTCACTCCCAGCACAACCATTGCCTTCACCCCATCCTCTTGGCTTGATGACTACTTTGACTGGGTGAAGCCTCAGTCCACCTGCTGTCGATACTACAACAACACTGGAACCTTCTGCAATGCCTCGGGTAAATTTATATCCAACGTCAACATGCTTTGAACCCTTGCCTCATGATCCTGGTGTCCCAAGTTTACATAAGTTCAACATGTTTTTCATACACAAAACGCAGTGACACAATTAGCATTTAAGGGCATTTTTGCAAAATGAACAGCAGAATTATGGCAATACTAAACAAAACATTAATGTCAACATTATTCTTGTATAATGCATTCAACTTACATTCAGGTGTTGCAATATTAGAATTGTATGGGTGATTTATGCAAACTAACGCTATTTTATATCTCAAAAGGATAATAGTATTTATTTAGATTAGGTTAACAAAATGTTGATATAATTATTAATGCATAAAATTGAGGCATTTGATTATTAATAGATCCGTAGTTCATAAAATGACTAAAAGTCACCTGAATTTCAGTTGCCAGTGTATTTAAGGAAGTGACAAATAATAGTGAAAGGAGGAACTAATAACTCAAACTGTAAAATTCCAATGTAAATTGTGTCTCATTTTTCGTGCCTTTGTTTTCAAAATACATGCAGTTTTAGGAAAAGTATGCTAATAACCAAAATGTTATTACAGCAATGCTGCCTCTAGTATTGTCTTACACTGGTACTGGTAAAGAGGTTATTATTTATTGTAGTATTTAAGAGTAGTATTTATGTTTTCAGTTCACACCTTTGTCTCAGAGCTAATTTGTATATTTCTCCAGTTAATTTGGTTAAATGGATGAATATATTCCCGGTATTGTTTTCCAGTGGTAAATTCCTCCTGCGTTCACTGCCGGCCCATGACTCCCAGTGGAAAGCAGAGGCCAGAAGGAGACGACTTCATGCGGTTTCTACCCATGTTTCTGTCAGACAATCCCAATGTCAAGTGTGGAAAAGGGTAATTTTATAGCTCTACTGAAATGTTGTAATTTTTTTTTTTTTTTTTTTTTTTTGAAAGCACATGACGTGAAATTGAATACTTTCATTTTAACTTCTGTTTTTATGTGGTTAAAGTATCCCATTGTGGTTTGTAATTTTCCCTTCTTTTATTTTTCCCACAATGTGTTAATTCTTCTCCAGCGGCCACGCAGCCTATGCCACAGCAGTTGACCTTCATCCCAACAACACAGGGGTCGGAGCCACTTACTTTATGACTTACCACACCATCCTGAAAGAATCTCCAGACTACATAGACGCCTTAAAAATGGCCCGAATCCTAGCTGAAAATATCAGTCAGTCCATGGACCACAAAGTTTTTGCCTACAGGTACGTCCTGTTGTACCTTGCTTGATATGCTGTATAAATTATAGTGTAACCATTGTTGTCTTTGTGACAACGTTTATATCTTCCATTGTTGTCTTTGTGACAACGTTTATGTCTTCCATTGTTGTCTTTGTGACAACGTTTATGTGTTTTCAGTTTCACCCACTGCTTTAGGTCTTTCTGGTTGTGAAATACTTTTAACTGAAGTTCTGCTTGTTTTGAACTCAAGGTTCAAGGGTAGAAATAGGTCATAGATAAGCACACAGCAAATAAAACATTATAAATGGCAACACAGCCAATGTTTGACCATAATCTCCCTCTCCCCAGTCTCCTATATAGCAAAACAGTCATGCCCCCTGACACTGAGGTTGAGCCAAATATTTCAAGAAAAAGTTGTTTGTGGATAAAAAATGAGTTTTGCTATTTCTCTATTGAAATGACAAACAATATGAGGTCAAGAATAGCTACTGATAAAAATAGAAAATGTAATAGCAGTTTCTTTAGGGGCTGTTCACTAATATATATTTTCCTTCTTTGCAGCGTCTTCTATGTGTTTTACGAGCAGTACCTCACCATAGCGTATGACACAGCTCTGAACCTGAGCGTGTCACTGGCGTCCATATTTGTGGTGACGACTGTGCTTTTGGGCTTCGAGCTGTGGTCAGCTGTGATTGTCAGTCTTACCATCGCCATGATCCTGGTCAACATGTTTGGTGTCATGTGGCTGTGGAACATCAGCCTCAACGCAGTATCCCTGGTGAACCTAGTCATGGTGAGATAACATGAAAAGCACACATAAGATGATGTCTGTTGTAATTATAACTGTCTATTAGATTTTACAGTTACTTTCTGGTTGAACATTGACTCGTCTTACTATAGTTGCAATGACCAATTTTAGTTGTAATGATTTCATAATCATTTCAGGAATGTTCACTTTCAAATTATAACTGTAAAAGGACGATGTGTGATTTTGATCATATAAATTAGAGGTGTATGAACAAATGTTGCAGCTTTCTTAACTCCAATAGTTGAAAGCAAATGCTTTTTAAAGCCTGTGTTTACCATCCCTGCTGACATAAATACATCAATAACTAAGTTTAATTTTGCATAGTATTACTATAGTATTATATCCATGTTCTGAAAGACTTGCTGCTACATTCCTGTGTTTTGAATATTGATGGTGTGATCATAGATTGTGCCTTTTTAAACTTAGGACTTTACTCTTTACAATCGGTCTGGTCGTCTGACCCCTTGTGTTGTTTACCCTAAGGGACTAAGGGACTTTGTTCTAGCAATGTCAGCCTGTCCCTAGATGACAGCACTTGGTGAAAAAATGTTGTGATAGCCATCAGGAAATGATCTTCCTCTAACTGTTAACGACTTCATCTCACCTATAACACATATTAATTTCAAGGCAGGAAACTGGAATCAGTAGGTTTTTAATTCAGCGTTTCCATGTTTTGGTGCTGAGTTGTTTCCTGTCCTCTGTTGCAGTGCTGTGGTATCTCGGTGGAGTTCTGCAGCCACATTGTGCGAGCGTTTTCCATCAGTGTGAAGAAAAACAGAGTGGAGCGGGCTGAAGAGGCCCTGGCTCACATGGGCAGCTCTGTAAGTCTTGTTATACTGCTTACAAATTCACAAGAGGAAGTAAATACATTTTTGCATGCTGGTAATGTGGATATCGGTGTAAATAAGCTTAGGATAAAGCAATGATTAATGTCTAATCATCAAATATCCTGATACTTAATGAAATTTCTTTCTTTTTCACAGGTATTTAGTGGGATCACATTAACAAAGTTTGGAGGTATTCTGATCCTGGCGCTTTCCAAGTCCCAGATCTTCCAGGTCTTCTACTTTAGGATGTACTTGGCCATAGTGTTGCTGGGAGCAACGCATGGCCTCATCTTCCTCCCTGTGCTGCTTAGTTATATCGGTCAGTAATTTCAAATGTTTAAAGGAAAACACATTAAGCATACAAGATTTAACACTGTTTTAATTAAATGTAATATTATTTTCCACAGGTCCTACAGTGAACAAAGCAAAGGTGTTTGCTGCTAACCAGCGCTATGCTGGTACAGAAAGGGAGCGCCTCCTCAACTACTAGCAGGCCGTATGGGACAATGAACAATGAACTAACTATTTGTCTGGGAGGGACTGTGTGGGTGTGAGCGCAAGCCATTTCTGTGATTACTGACCCACTCATCATCGCTGCCACTACTATGCACAGATTTAACTCAGGAATATACTTGGGAAAAGGTGTGCCAGAGGCCTTGTCCAATTGCATACTTATTGATTTTCCTCAGAAGACTTTGGACCTCCCCACCTCCCCCCTCCCCACCTCACACCTCACACTACAGGACAAACCTGACTTCAGTGTGTGAAGCATAAGCGACATACCTCTGAACAAAAACACCACTTTGACAGTGTGGAAGTAGGAGAGACACCACCCCCAACATCAGTTGACAGACTCTCAGTTCCATATGCTATGAGCTATTTTGAAAACTCAAAAGGGTAAATCTGGTTAGGTTTTTCATGTTTTTTAAATGTATACCAGGAAAAAAAAACCAATGTGTTGAAAAGGACTTTTTTTTTTTGCTAACGTCTACTAACACAGGACTTTTGCAGAACTACTTGATATTATGAATCATTTATTGACTGGCACAATGCACATACTGGAGCTAACAGATAATAATGATAGGCCCTCATATTACCTGGGATTAACATGTATCACAGCCGGGGCTGTGTCTAAATACTGTGATATATTACAGGCCAGCTAGTAGTAGCATTTTTTTTTTTACATAGCAATAATGTGCAGCTTTTAACTATAATGTTTTGACTCCAGGAAACAAGACTTGAAATTAACTTTGAGCTTTAAAAGTTTTCTGGCATGTTCACATGCACGTCGGGGGAGCAGTGAATTGTAATTGTAAACCCCTTTACTTAAAAAAGGCTACAGTTTCTACATGGATGTAGACGTAAAAGCTGCTTCAAAGCTGACACCTCATTTAAAAGTGAGAGAACTGGAATACAGAGTCAAAACAAACAGTCCAAGTACTGCATCATAGCATACTCTCCAAACTGCCTGGTCTTTTATGTCCACCTCAGCAACTATTTAAATGATCCAGTGCAACATTTCATTTTAGAGCTACTTTAATGTATCTTAAGTGTCCTTTTGAAATGTTGGCATGACTACAGAGTTAGTCCATCTGGAGTGCTTTTACATATGGTCACAGCAGAAACATCTCTGCTGCGACATCAGTCAAGATACATGTTGATTCCAGGTGTAAAGGGTGCTTTAATGCTAATAGTGGTTTTACATAGTAAAGTGTAAATTAGACACTGCAGTTACTGAACAAAACATTTGTTGCATCAAGAAGTGAAGAGAGAAGCTTTACATATGACTGTAAATATCATACACGAGACTAATTTAGATTGATTCTTTAGTCATCTAGAGTATGTTGATACTGAATACTGTTCAATGATTAGATAATGGTAAAAGAGTTTTTCATTCCTACACATTTAAGTTATTTTTTTTTTTTATTTAACTATTAACACTTTCTTAGCATGTATTGCTGTCTTATAAAACCCTTCCAATTTGTCCAAAGGAATCACTTTGTTTTAAAAGATAAACAACAACTTTTTGTGAAGCAAATTGAACTGTATATCCCAGGACAATACGGTCCAGGCGATGCAAGTGAATACACACTTGCATCGCCTGCTCTTCAACATGTCTGAGGTCATAACTAGTCGAGACTCAAGGTGGTGCACTCCCACTAGTTTAATCTGGATATGGTTGTCCCAAATTGATGCTGACATCACTGGAAGAGGATGTTAACGTTTTACCCAAGGTGGATGAAATCTGGTGGGACCTTTTTTGTTTTTCTTTTTTTTTTAAGGAATAGCACCATGCTTTTTGATTTTCAAGAGTTATTTTTTTTCCACATTGCAGTCATGTGTTTTTTTGAATGTGTCGATGAAAAGTTTAAAACCGGGAAAAGTTTTGTGAGTAACCAACTGAAAAAGTTGGAATAACAAAGAATTGTGCTTGTTAACAGTGCTGTGCATTGACATTGACAAATCATCTCTGACACTGAAGAATATGATCTTGGTAAAAGAGACTAAACCAAACATTTTAAGTATTTTAACACATTAAATAGTTATCATAGAAGTATGCAGTTTGGCCTATTCTTTTGTTTTTGCTGATGCAAATTTGATTTAATGTGATGTAATATGACCCCTGTTAGAAGCCACTATAAAGTCTCCAGCTGGAAGGAGTCTTTTTGGAACAAAAACAATAGTTTTATTCTTTTGAGGTTAATACAAACAGCAGCAGATGCTTCTGTAGCAGAAACCACTCACAGCTGAGGTTGTTTAGACTGACCACAGTGTGGCGCCTGAATCCATTCATGAAGCTCTGTCTGCATCATGCTCTCAGTAATGTTGGGGGAGTGACCTAATTTTTATGTCTTGAAGGGAAGCAGTGTTGCCATGCTTTTACACTGTCAGTGATCTAAATCTCTGCAGTGTGCAAGTAGTCCACAGAGCATATTAACTAAAGCATCTGCATGGAGCTTGTTGTTAAGCATGTAAATATGCAGCTTTTTGATATTTATATCAAAACTTTACAGGCCATCAATCACTCACATCCCATTTGAAAGTTGCTGCCAAACCCCTGAGCTGCGTGCTTCCTCCTGTTGTTTATTGTTGTGTCTGTCTGTTCAGCTCTGTTGTCACACAAACCTCCAGCTCATGACTTATTTATCCGTTTCCCTGTGAGAGCGGGGACTGTTCTTTGAATCTGGCTGAGAGATTAAAATATTAATTTCCTCTGCAGGTCTGCTGTGCTGTCTGCAGGGGGAGAATATACAGGTTGGGGAGAGTATTATGTAAGATGTGCAAGGCTCGCCTCACACTAGACTCTGACCTGTCCCCATCCTTCATTATGACACAGACGACATACACTGCACAGCAAGGGTGTTGTAGTTCGAGAAGGTATGAATAACATTTTAGGAACATAAAAAAGAACCTAAATAGCTTGTTGACAAATGTAACTGAGTAAAATGAACCGCATGTTTTTGGCTATAAACCAGTTATAGCTGAAATTAATACCTTTGCTTGTATGAGTACTGTGAAGATCTTATGCTGTTTTAAATATTAGATGGACAAATTTTGCCTGGCAGATTCCTTAAATATTTTAGAAAGTCAAACCAAAGTGAAAGTTGCAAATCATGGTCAAGAAATGAAACTAAAGACATAAATATCAAAACTGAAAGACGAGAGAAGGAAATGTGATATTGTGACCAGCAGTAACACAATACTATAGTATACAATACTATAGTTTATAATATTCTCCTGCATATACAGTCGCACAGGATGTTTTGTTATGAAAGAGCTCCTCATTTCATAATTTGTTGTGATGTGCTGAATGTCCCGCCCACTGAACGTCTGTTGCCTGAATGACAGCGGCCCTGGATTATCAATCCCTGGAATAATTTTTTCTTTTTTTCTTAGATAACAGGACTAATCTAGAAAATAATCTGTCGGTAATCTGTTAACTAATACAGCTAAGGGAACTCTAATTACAACAATCAAGTTTAATTTAATGGTTATGTGTGGGATAAAAATAGTCTTGTATAGAGTACTTATCCAAGTGTGATTCCACCGGAACAAACTGTTTAATATAGGTACAGGAACCACAATGTTTTTCCTCCAATTTCAGGAAATGCTGTTTAATTTAATTAAAATTTTCCCTGATATTTGGGACAGAAAAGAAAATTACACTTTTAGAAGTAGCAATTTAACAATACTTAACCCAAACTACTCAGAGAGCAGTCTTTAAGTATGATTATTACATTATTATAATGAGTACATCACCACATCTGCTTCTGAAACTAATTTGTTAAAGTGTATTCTGTGCCAAAACAAGTGCTATGTATGTCCAATAGCCCTCCACTGTGCGTCCTCCCACAGCTGTCCTTGAACTCACATTGGGGCCTCCACCACACCAACTTAAAAGTTGATCTGCGTGTTTTTTAAAGATCCATCAATAAGTAAGTGTAAGAAGCGTTTAATGTCCTACTTTGCGTCACCGGTTTTCGGTTACAGCAGGTTCAGCTGTCTCTGAAATAGACTCTTGGGGTGGAACAAAAGGGATTAGGTAGCCTTGTCAAACATGAAGAGAGGATCAGATTTTCAGGTCCACCTGCAGTGCTTTCCCCTCCTGACCGTGGACCAGTCCAACACAACATTGCAAGTTAGTGAAGAAAGAAGTTTGTGGATTTTAACGTTACATTAGAAACATGCCTGTACTTTATGCGTGACAAAGATTTAGCAAGTGCGGAATAGAATCCAAGAGTGCATCAAACAGGTTCTCACAGTTAAAATGTCACAATCCTTTAGTGTTCCCTACTTCCTTGTTTACAAACTACAGTAAATGGTGGAAAAGCCCTGAGTCACAGTATCATGACAGGAAAAGGGGCAAAATGCTGTTTCAGCCAAATGTTATTTTAAAGGGAAGGGCAATAGAACGCAGCTTGCCCCAAACGATGGTACACATATTTTCACAATGAGGGTCACTTATGTGTGAGCAGGGCTCAGGAAGGGCTGTCAATAGACCCCTTTATGAGGCAGCGAGGGGGGAATTAGGCTGTCAATGGAGGGGACTAAGCCACGTATGCCATGTGTCCACTCTCGGTCCTGGCCTGTTTGTTTTGATGGCAGCACGAGACTGGCGTGACTGCGGGCCTTGTTTACATTGGATGTGTGTCAAGCGGGAGAGTTCCCACTCGATGAGAAACTGACCTCTCAGATTGCATCAGAGCCACAGGTGCCATCCATTCCCGGTCGAGGTTTCTGGAGTCTCGCCTATTTATTGTACTGAGATTACCAGACAGTTTGATAATCCAAGTTATGCATTTACAAGACAGAGGGGTGTTGGGTTGTAAACATGGCTCAGGAAAGCAGTCGGTCAGTTTAAGAACTGCTTTGGTGACAAAGAAAACAGAATTGTAAGGGCAAAATTGAGATTGTTTTTGGCCGTGGAGCAGTGCATATTAAATGTATAATAGGCAGAATGAAGTGATGAAACAAAAATGAACAAAACTACTGCTATAAACAAAGGACAGAGAACTTTTGGCAGCGTGTTGTAGACCAGCAGTGAGCTCAGACTTTCACACAAGTACAAGTTCCATGTGAGTAATTTCCTTTGTATTGTTAAGTGCTGGAAATGAATGTGCATTACACAACTTTGAAGTATCAAATAGTAGCCCAGACAAGTCATTTATGTTACAGCAATAAAATAATTACAGTTAAGTACATAAGTTCATACAGTTAGATTTTGTTACTTGTTTTTTTACAAGTAACTTTATGGTGAAAATACCATAAAATAGCTGTCTGTCCATCTTGTGTTTTGATAAACAGATCTAAAGTGACATTTTAAGAAAATGCTACCTACAGGGCTACAGCCATGGGCTAACTGCAGTGCATTTAAAAAGCACGTATTACCGTGTGAGCTTATATTTTAAGTATGCAGTGCAGCCCATGTCAAACTGTGATAAAAAAAAAAAAGGTAAAATGCTTGTGAGATGACTTTGACGTGTACCATAAAGTGACTCCTGTTTGCAGCACAGCAGTTGGAGAAACCTTTAGGGAGGGACTTCAGAGATATCATTGTTCCAGTCTGGCAGATTAATTGTAACACTGGTTCAACCTGAAGTGAAGCTACAGTAAGCTTGAAAACTAGTCCAACCAGGACCAGGCTCGTCTGAGGAGATACATTTCCAAAGTTACTGATTTACTGTCAGTAAGTCTGTCATAACTGGTCATCTTTCTTCACGAAACACCCCTCAGCATCAGTGATGTGTTTAAAGGCCATGCAAACCTATTTCCTAAATCAGGTACTTACTATGAGTGACAAAACTTTATTTGTGACTTTGTCCTCGGCAGAAATACAGGTTTGAAGTGGACGGGGCTCAGCTTTTAACTACATTTTGACTGGTTTAACTTCTCAACTCGCTGCTGTGAGATACAAGTGCCAACTGTTTGTTGAGACCGAACGCGAGGTAAATTTTAGAGGCTGCAAAGCCAAAGGAATTAGCCTGGGGCGGCATGACCTGACGCAAAAACTTGTCAGCGCAAGTTCAGAATGTTTCAACTTGAGCAGAAAATTTTCAGTTTGCTAATCTACTCGATAAACTAGACGAGAGGGAACAGGATATCTTTTGCTAGTTAGGCTCCAGCTAGCATCAGTACAGTGACTAAAAATTCACATCACTTTCTGTCTGAACACACCTCAAGAGCCAGTCCAGAACAATTTCTGTTCACTTAATACATGCTAGGTTGAGGTGAAGCAAAAAAAAAAAAACCACATGTCCCAGTCTTGTTTTGATTGAACAAGCAAAGCAGTTTATTTACAAACATACGCAGGTAACAAGTGTCGCCCATGAGTCTCTCCTCACAGAGTATTTAGTGTGCATCTTATCGCAAAATCTTTGGGCTTGCAAACAGAAATAAGCTCAGTATTTTTTTCCACCTTAAAATCAGCATAATCCATGCTTTTCACATTATAATTTGGTTGTTGATCATTTCAACTCAAATACCAGCAATACTTGACCTTGAAATCTTTCCTTTTTTTCCCAAGGAGGCCACGCTGTACGTTCCTGATTTGGTGGCCTCGCAATACTCGGCAGTAGTGTTTGAGACAATTTCAAAAGGTACCCAAAAAAAAAAAAAAGCAAATCAAGTATAGATACATGCCAAATTAATGGAATAACACCTTTTAAATCAACAATTGCTGATTCAAGTTATATGCAAATGTTCATCTCCGTTCAGATCTTGTTTAGGTTTCTTAGAGAGGTCAGAGGTCAGGTCAGCTAAAGAGAAGTGTGCCTCAAGCCTGTATGGACTCTTGCTCAAGGACACTTCAGCAGGGTCTTAGCCCACACCCAACAGGTGACATGACATTTTTCTCTTAACACTAGAGCAACCCTGCTGCTTATCCCGATCACTGCTTAATGGCATTTTTGCACTCATGAACTTCAAAACGACCTTCCTGACCCCCATTATAGCACCGTAAACGTGCTAGCAATACACTCTAACATAGAGCACAGGAAATTCGACACTGATAAAAGTGGGTCTGGTCTCCATAGGTAAATAGCAAGCATTTGACTA